AGCTCCAGCTAGTGACAAGCGACTAGCCCAGAAGGTTAGTCCTGCGAAGGCTAAAGAACATCAACAAACTGTTGTACAGCTCTTGCTGTTCAACTTTTAAGCAAGGCCTGAGAACCTGTGGCGTACAAATATTTAAAAAAAAATCAATGACTAAGTGTTTGATATGTTTTTACAAAGCACAAATTAAAGACAAACAAGAAACTGTAAAATAAAGAAATTAAATGCTATTTTCATGTAATATATATATATATGTGTGTGTGAATTCGTACCAATTGAAAGTGTTGTAAAAACAAAAGTCGTTACAAAATAAATGTATTGAGAAGTGGGTTATTTTGCGAGAACAGTCGTTATGTTAAATAAATGAGGTATATATATATATATATATATATATGTGTATCAAATCATATGTACATCTTTAACCTTAATTATTTCTCGAAAATGCTCGTAGCATCGTTTTAAATGTCATTTATGTTTGCCATAATTAACGTTTAATTTATTACATAAGACTTTCCACATATGCTGATAGATAAATCAATGATTTATTTAAACTTAGATTTTATACAATCATTAATAGCTATAACGTTAAAACTCGGTTTTATAATAGAACGTCTGACAAATTAAGAGCGACTTCCTAACCCTACAAAATGACAACTTAATGTTCTTTGTTTATCATACTACAGTAATATTTACAATGTTGGGAACAGTCTTCAGCCGAAAGTAGCTTCAATTTATAATACTTGCTAATCATATTCTTATCTTCACGTACTTGCTTTAAGACGTTTGTACACTTACTTATTTCAGATATTTGCCAAAAGCTACACAAGGCTATCTACACAGAGCCGTCCTTAAATTTTGAGGCGATAGACTACAAGGAAGGAACAAGTCAATAACACCCACCGTCAAATTTTAGGGCTATTTTAATCGAATAGTGGGATTTGCGTGTCACTCTTATAACGCACCCATGGCCTCAGATCTATAACACAGATTACAGTGCAAGTAGTAGAATATATTTCTTCTCATTGTGAACAGTAAAAGTAAACGTGCAAAGTTTGGTCCTGGTAGTAGGAATTAGTTTAATCCTTAGTACGATGAGCAACCTTCATCAAAAAAATTCAGCAACTCTATACATAACGTGAAGTTATACCGGAGATAGACCATTTACGTTAAATGTTACCGGGAATTGTGCGTGTATTTTTGGTCAAAAATTATTATCATACTTTTAAGCAGTTTCCGAACCATAAACTTCATGACATAAAACTGAATAATCGTCATGATACAAATATAATTATCAATTTTGTTTGGCCTGTTGAGAGAGTGCATGGGTGTTCAGAGAGAAAACCATGAAACATCAATTATATACTCTCCAATTATATCACACTGCACATGGGTGGTTCTACTGAAAGAACCTGTTATTACATAAAAAAGAAAAGCAAGCTGACTAACCAGACAAGTTAATAACTATAATGCGTACAAAAGTACCAAGTAATTATTCAAAAGCTTAAAAGAACGGTCATATCATGGGAATGGGATAGATGCAAAGAAAACATAAACAGTTTTATACTATCTGCCATATTTAAACTACTCAGGTCCAATAAAATATAAAGTGGAAGTATCCTTAATAAAACATATTTTGAACCAAGAAGTTAATTTTAAACATAATTCTTACCCCTACATTACTAATTCTGACTAAATATACTGTACAGAGAAGTTAAACACAATATACGAACTGTTTCAGACTAATTGGTTCAAGAATATGTGATTAAAATATTAATTAAGCTAACATATTTTAATAAAAATATAGAAAATTTTAATCTCAGTTGGTATGGAACAAAAACACAAATGAGCAGTCGTCCCTACCCTTGCCTAGCGCCACAAAACTTAAAACCAGTTAAATGAATGAATAATTCACTGCTCATTCTCAAAGGAATTAATATACTCCAAATTTAATGTTTTAACACTAAAAATCTTTTCTACTTGAGTAGAATGTTTGATGAAATTTTGTCGAATACAGTTTCAAAATGCGTAACGTATCTCCCTCTCACACTCATATGAACTTTCACATGAAGCCGACCACAATACTTGTTGCCAAGTAATTATAGGACACTATTAGTTACGAGGCAGAGTATAGAATCAAGTTCGACTTACTTCTAGTTGAAGCTGCTTTCATTACTGACGGTTCATATGAATTAATAATTTCTGCCTTGGTGACAATGATGTTTGTTGTCTGCTGATGCCTACACGGTGACTCATGTGAACAACTACCATCAACAGAAATATTGCTACACGAGTCCAGGACATCAATATTTACAGTGTCCTCATCCATGGACTTCTCTGGTTTTCCATCGCAAAGAAGATCCTTTGATTCAAGATTGCTTCTTCCATGGTTGGCTTTGGTCCTGAAGGAATTTCTGTCTACCTCAGAATCTTCATCTTTAACATGCTTATGTCTCCTTCTAGATGTCTCGCATTTGAATTTTTCATCACAAAGTTTTTCTCTGTTTGCAAGATCTACAGGCAATATTTGAAATCTAAGCCGTGAATCGGAAACACGTATATCTGGTGATGGTGACTCAACAACATCTTGATAAATGTCTTTTCGAGCTCCACTTTCACGAGAAAATGGAGCATTTGTAGATTTGTTTGTTAAAACTGGAATTTTGGAACTAATACTAAAAGTACTATCGTATTTGTCCTGTTTGAGTTGTGAGACATAAGAAGAATCGGCACTCGATATGGAACAAAATGAAGTCATGCTTTTCGGCATGTGGGTAATTTCTTGCGTACTGAAAGACGCCTGAGTTAAGTTTTCTATCGGCACTGTAAGGGTTGTTGACATGTTCGGCTTTACTCTCATGACCTTATAACCAGGAGGAGGAGTGAGATTATTTTGACGGACACTCTTGCTATTTCCCACGTGAAAAACTAATGGAGTGATTGTAGACAACCGATCATCAAAACTATTGTCATCACAACTTCTACTTAGTTCTCTAGTATTGCCATCACGATACTGGTATCTTCTAGACGAGGCTGACATTCTTGGGGTATTGAGTTTTCTTTCTTCCTTTGTCAGTGAAGACGAACATTCTAAACTTGCCGAGTCTTCTTTTATTGTGCTCTCAGGATTTTGTAACTTTTTTTTTCGACTGTCATTACAGGACACAGGAGTAGAACTAAACGTCGTTAGCGGCTGTCCTCCACGGCTTATATTATCCTCCAAAGTAGTGTATGAAGGTTGAGAAGAATGAATTAAATAATTATTCGGTGTGTCGCTTTCGATTGCTACTGTATTGGTACCAATCGTACAGAAAGGAAGAATGTCATCTGCAAGTTTATGACAAGAAAAGATCTTGGGGCTTTGAAATGTTACGCTTGAATGACCTTGTAAGTCATGGGAAACTAGCGACCTTTCAAATTTAACTACTTTCACTGTTTGGCTTGCAGTTTGCTGAGATTTATTCGTAACTTTGCTGTTATGTTTTAAACGCTTTACATGTTGGTCAATTTTTCCCGCTATAGAAACGTGACTTTTCTCATTGCATCGTACAGGATCACCACCAGAGAGCAGGCTTGTGTGGTACTGGAGTCTAGTGTAATTCTGTGGGCTATTATACTTCACGTCATGTGACTGCTTAAAACCTTCTTCAGCAGCTGGATCTGTACAGCATTCTCTACACCGAAGAATACTGAAGATGCCAAAACGCTGACGGTATGATTTCCAATGACTAGTACTCGAAGAAGTATATTGATTCTCCCTTTTGTCAGAGGGGCCATGATCTGAAACGGGAAAACGTCCTCGCGAAGTCGGCAGTGACTTGTATCCATGCCTTGTATCACTTCCGGAGAAACCGTCTAAATTTCGGTTCCACTTGACTCTCATCTTCTTACCGTAACAGTTTGTCTCCCATATGACTACTAAAACGTTACAACACGGTCGACAACAAGCTTGTATGTTTACACTGTGTGGAACAAAGATAAATTTCTCAGAGAGACGTGAACGAGGTCGATATGTTGAACGTCATAACTGCAGCACGTGATGGTCATAGTTTACTGGAAAACTGTAACATAACAGGATGGCGACAAAGCATGTTAAATCACGTGTGACGATATGGTCCTATGACCAACACAAAGTCTACTGAAGCACTAGATGATCACGACAGCTGTAGTATTGTTAACGTATTCCTAGTGAATTCAACAGGTTTGCAATGTTTGCTCAAACTTGCTACTCCACCTAGCCCTCCCCTACTCTCTCCTTTTCTTTAGTCTAGACTCTAGAACACACTTCTTCCGTCGTCCGAGTTCTCTCGCAAGCACTTGTAAAATAGCTATGTTTTAGATTGTAGTTCTGAGACCATATCAGCAGGTAAGTATACTCTCCAACCAGGCGGTTCGCACCGATAGTGTTTAGCCAGAGGCACGACAGATCAAGCTAATGCGGCTTTCCTTGGGGTGGGTAGCCGAAGATTGTCTGCGCGGCCAAACCTGTTTGTACCTTCCCCTCAAAGATACGGCTATTCACAAAGTGAGTGAGTCTATGCTATTCTTTGTTCAGCAAGAATAAGAATAGGCTTTAACAGCGCGAAGCTGGAAAGTGGCGCTTTTTGTAAGTATGTAGGTGTGTATATTAATGGTAAACATCCGGTCTTGTTTGGATTGAAAGTGAAGGAAGAAATTCGTAGTAAACCTTAGAACAGACTGGTTTCAGTTTAGAGACAACATTACTACACGAACCTAAGTAGTTTATCAACCTCTGCTACAACAACAGTGTCACGTAACATAATATTCACAATTAGAAAACTTAATGTACTATCCCAAACATAGGAACACTTACTAAGGTAAACCCAACTGTGGGCAATAATAATAACAATAATATACCTCATTGACGCGAAAGTGAGTTAGCAAAAATTCATTAAAAACTTTTATTCACACACTTAAATAATACAAATGATTAAAGTTGTTCGGAATTTTATACACACTATTCGGGATATAAAAGTTCCAATTTGATGGGCACGATCCCCCACAAATCAAAGACTAAAAAAAACACAATAAAAATGATACATATAACCTAATATTACTTTCCTTTATCAGATTTTTTAGTTAAAAATAATTAATATAAACTCCTCTCCACCATCATGTACTGTAAAATCTGAAATTTTTAGACAAGTGAAATCCGGAATTCTGGAAACTCAGGGAAAACAATCAGCCAGCCATAACGGTTTTAGCCAACTTCTCACATACACATTGCCATATCATGAACTTATCTGTTCATAACGTTGTCCAACCACCAAGTTTTAAGTAATTTCACCATTACTTTTTGAATGCTTCAACATTCGTAAGTAAAGATATCAGAGGTTCTTACCATACTGCAACAGTATTCTGACTTCAACTTAAAAAACAGCGTTTTGCTGTGTAAATGCCAATAACTCAGTGTAGTTCGTTTCCAGAAGCAATCTTCATAATTAACCACGAGGAATTATGTCTCCTTAGAAAATACACATAAGAAAGCAAACCACCAGCACCATAAAACAAACTCTTACACATGCGAACTATGGTGCATGGTTTAAGTTACCTCAAAATTATCAGTTCTCTAAAAGATCAGGTTATATCGGATTTTGCCTTTTGTTTTAGACTTTTCTTGTGATATATAGTTTGCATGTGATATCAGCAGCCGAGTAAAGTGAATGTATACATTAAAAGGCCATAAACAAGGACCCTCGTGTGTTATCGCGTTGCCTTGTCAACATGTGTTCTTTTGGCTGTGTAAAAGCGAATATGTAACATTTCATCATTACTCCTGTTATGTGGTGGTAGAGCACCACAACAGTTCAAGCGGCGTTCACTTTTCCTAAGTTACAAATCATGCTTCTGGAAAGTCAGTTAAACACCATGTGATATACGGCCTATAAGCACATTGATATGTTGATATGTCAACATAACGTTTTGATATAGAACAGCCTAAGCCATCTCTATTTACAAATACTTAAATCATATGTGCACTATTCTACTACTTTGTTTTGTGGAGTTTCTACTCGAGGGCTATCTGCACAAGCCGTCCCAAATTTGGAAGGGATAGAACAAAGAGAAGGCAGCTAGCCAACAGCATACACCACCTACTCGGGGCTAATCTAGCCGAATAAAAGGATTTGACTGTCATTCTTATAACGCACCCACGATCCTAAAGTGCGAGGAGCACATTTTTTTCGCAGTAATGGGACGCAAACCGCGGAATCTCAGCTCCATAGTCCCACACGCTAACCATAAGCACTATTTAGGTAACAGTTCTTGGAAGATGGACTTGTATAACAGGGTATACAAGAATGGACAGCATGGCAAACCGTGTGTTTGAAAGTCATAAGATACAAACGTACATAGAAATCTTCTGGTTCGAAGAAAATTCGATTGTTGAAAAAAGTTCATTAAATCACACTCACTTTCTCTTTCGTACACAATGTTTTTCTTCTCTATCTCTCTCTTTTTCTTTTCATGCGGTAAAGGGACGCAAACCACGGAACCTCATACCTATAGTCAAGTGTGCTATCACTATTGGCCTGTTTAATTAAGATATAGCATACTTTTTCTGTGTATTGTTTTAATGTGATAATCTTAATGTCAACCCACCCTTTCTGTAACTAGTTTCTAGTTTTTAGCAATTCACAATTCAAACCTGAATATCGGAAATTTCGCGCCCTTCTAGGTCCTGCCAATTTTAGACTGACCCTTTATTCTGATTGGTCTGTTGCGTTAGGTAATTTGAAAGTTGACTCTTACATTATTGTTCCGACACACACACATGGGAATAAAGAGTGGTCAATAAATAATAACTTTCCAGGTTGTAGTCGCTAGAAATGGTAGAGTTTCGTTTAAAATTCCGTTGTAAGTTATGACGGACTTAGTTAAGCCGGACTATTCGCTCGTGACAATCGTTTTACATTCTTGTCCTAGTATTTGTCCATCTAAGCCGCACATTTATTTTGTTTTATACATATGAAGACCAGTGTTCGTCCTGACGATCGTAGAGGTAAACCGTAAAATAATAATAATACCAATCAGCTATCTGAGATGACTAAGGCCATAATCTGAAAAAAAATCTAATTATATTTTGGATTTGAAGAAAGTATTTTCTTTACATCTTTCCCACCCACCCACTCACGATCATTGCTTTTATCGGTAACTTACTTGCCAATTAAATCCTCGGATCTCCTGTGATAATATGTGCGGAATTTCTAAATACAAGGATACCACAATAAGCACAAAAATAAAATATGTATATGGATAATTTTGGGCAAACTGTTATCAAATCTTCGTATACAGCGTGTACGATGACATTAACACACGAACACATGCAAGTTATCATTTTTACACCCGTGACTTCCTTTTTCTACACTACCACCTATAATCCGTGGCTTCAGACTGAAAAACATGCTGTTAAGTCGACAAAGAGCATGGAAATCACGCATCTTCTGCCTCCTTCTGAGCATCTTTAACAACTGCTGTCCAGCCCGACAGTATGTCTCCCTAAAATTACCTCTTTAAAACAATTGTCTTTAACAGCACGCCTTGGAAGTAGGATACTGGTCCAATGATGATACAGTCATCTTTTTACTGAAGTGACGAAAATTATTTCCGAGATAAATAGAAAACAATCAATTTAAATTTCACAACTTGAATCAAAATACATTTTTAAAAACTAACTTACTGTTCATCGACTAGATCCTATATAATGTTGTTTGTATTGAATCAGTAACTGCTATTATAATAGACCAGTAGAGACCCGCAAAACATCTGCAATCAAATTAGTATCTATTCTAATAGCAGACACCGAAATCTATAAGTTCATATGTCTTAGGCCTAACATTGGTTAAGCCTTTATTAAGTATTATTTACATTCGATAAGAGATAAATTAACACTGTAACTTGTGTAAATTTTTGCTGTAGTTTAGTTAGTGTTACATACCGTAGGGGTTTAGCCCTATCAATAATTAAACTTATACTACAACCTGACCTTAGGCCTTTTTTTAAACGTTGATAAGCCTTTAATATGTTATTGTACAAAATGTTAACTAAAGTATAGTAAGTATAGTTACATTTGTATTTTGTTTACATCCGATGAAATTAAGTGCGCGCGCATTTTCAAGACAGACAAAAACTATTATTATAATTTCTTTAATTATTACCCAAAAAACTTGAAATATATTAAAAATCACTCTATCAATCAGCAATCTTTTTACTTGTATTAACAAATACGGTTCATGATTATTACATGACCGTGTTCTTTGCTTAATTAGATTTGTTGAATAATACACAGATAATGTACCGCCACATCGTGCTGCGAAATCTATCACTCAAAAACAAACAAGTGTATAGCTCAGGATTTACGAAATTTGATGCGATGCGTTTACCTCACAAATGGGGAGTTAGTTCATCACTATTTTATGATGCTACAAGAATTACATGGCATACTACTACTACTACTTCTATTCTTCAACATGATAATCACGTTTTTGTCGTGAAACAAATCAGTTACGTTTCTACAGGTCACGTGACACGAGAATCAACCGTATAGAATGCGAGTTTTTTCCACAAGTCGCAACGAGGTTAAACCTGACCAAGTTAGACGTTCATCCATCACTGGTATAGGACCAACCAAACCAAAATGCTCATTGGGTAAATTCCACTTGCACTCTACACAAGAATGAACTATGTTCTGTATGAATACAACATAAAGAACACTTAGACTCGTCATTCGAGCACTTTCTTAATTCGGTAGCATTTCTGACCTTCTTTAACTGGTTGTTTTAGACAGAACAGTATTATCTGCACAATGATAAAAAAAAAAGTCCAGAACAAAAGCACCAAAAATGAAAAAAAATAAAAACGTTTGACATTTGTTTTAATCTTGAATTTGTCATACGATTTTACTCTTTTGTTTTTGTACTGCTGGGCTGTCTGCATTTTGTCCATCACGGGGATTTCCTTGCTTGTTGATGAGCGTAAAGCAACAGGATATGCTATCTGTGTTGAGCCCATTACGAGTATCAAAACCCGTTTTTTTTGTTGTTTTTTTTTACGTTACAAGCTTTCAGACTTATCAGTAAGCCACTGTGGACCCACCACAGGAAATCGAAGTTCTGAATATAGCGAAGTAAGTGCGTAAACTTATCAATGACCCACTAGGGGACGCGATTTTATTCGACAGTAAATCAGTTAAGTTGTCAAATTGATATAATTAGATAATATATTGTATATCTTATAACAAAGCTTAAACGTTCAACATTGTATCTTTTAATACAAAGTTATGATATATAGATAACTGCGTAAAATAATTAACGTGACACATTAAAGTGCAATGTTGATATTATATTGACATTTTAATATATTTTTAATTTACTATTTACCGTATTCAGTAATTTCCAACAAACTTTTTAATGTTTTATTCTACATCACAGTAGAAATGAGTAGTTGCAGAAACTAAATTTAGTCATTTTTTGTGGGAACATATTTATTCTTCAAACGTTATTATGTC